ACACACACACACACACACATGCGTATAAAAGATATGTAAATAAATTTCATTTCAGTTAATTATTATTTGTATAGTCTGACAGTATTGCTGTGTAATAGTTCTTCTTACTTAGCTTCCGTGAATCGTTTTTGCAACTTGGCACTGCACATTTCACCAAGATAATTAAAAATTCTATTAAATATCGTCGTGAGAAATAATTAACGCGCGTGACCATTCGTGACTAATACCGTCGTCCTGGCCTGCCAACTTGGCTGGCCTGAAAACTTGCGAGTCTGTTTAATATTTAATGTAATATATAATGTAAAATAATATTTAAAATAATTTTAAACTTGGTAACAATATTGTAATAAATAAACCTTACAATTATATTACTCCTGATTTTCTGCATTCGTCGCATTCTCTCGAAGTTTAGTTTACTGAAGGTTTCACTTCCACCACGTGTGACCTGCACATATGTTTTTTTTATAAACTATATAGGCGCAGTTCACCAAAACGTCTTATACACGGTCCATCTTGATTCTTGACGTACGTCCCACCAAGGTCATGCACGACGCACGCCACGTATCGATTACGCGCTCCAAGAGGTCGAACATTGGCGCACGCTCCAGCCGCGCGAAATGGCGCCAAATTTTTCGTTGGAGCACTCGAAAGTGGAGCGGGCCGCTCTATCTGGTGTCGGTTTTTTTTACCGCGCATCAAAGTCATTTAAGTTTTGGTGCGCGCACCAGTTGGGACGTTTGTTTTCATTATTTGTGTGTTCGTTGCATTCCGAGCTATAGATAACCAAAGTTGCCGTAAATTAATAAAACTATATAGTTTAAAAGATCTGCTGTGGAATAGCAAAAGTCGTTTGTATCATACTAAAGCGCTCAGAGAAGATGCATAGAACTATGAAAGCGGCAGCTGCTCGTACACGACCAGGACAGTTACTATACTCTTTGTACACGACCGACTGTTATTCCTGTATAGGACAGTTACTATCTCTTTGTACACGACCGACATCCTTGTTGAACGGTCAAACACTGGAGTGGCTGCCGCGCGCGCCATGAGCTCTTAGTTGATACTTTATACAAAGGTACTCTGTGGTTGATACACTTCGACCATTTGGAGCGCATTCCGCGGAGCGCACTGGTCGGAGCGATTCATAGATTACTGTATATAGAGTAGTCATTCATTGCGCGCACGCCAGGAGCGCGTAATCGATTCGCGGCTTAAATGTCGTGTCTTGATGTTGGCAAAGTAGCTTAGCGCCCTTTCATACATTTTTACTTTTATTAAGGATGTACCACCTATTAAACCTAATGATTATATACTCTTTGTCGATAATTATCAAATGTAAAAAAAAATTTAGTTTTATTCATTATCTTTTTGCACTTATATTGCATTTTATGCATTTTTAACGTCAAGCATGGTGCAGTTTTTCCATATTGCAAAAAGAACCCGTTTCTAATTATTTTAAGTTGTTGTTGAGTTGAGCAATATTTATCTATTTTTGTTTATGAACTAAATGGTTGCAATTTTATTATTTAATATTTTTGAGATGAGCTATTTAAAATAAATCTGTCAGTATTTTTTAGTTTATATATACTCCAAATTCGTAGGCTGGAATAGGGCGGGTGCATTTGACACTTAACAAAATTTGGTTTTATTAACTTTTTGTGCTTATCATTGCATTTTATGCATTTCTAACGATGGTGCAATTATATTTAAGCAAAACTTAATTATTTTTTATTTCTAAACTAATATAAAATAATATTTTTGAAATGTGCTGTTTGAAATATGTCCATCAGTATTTCTTTATATATATAATATAACTCATAGGCTGGGGAAGGGGGGTGGGCTCGCGTTGTACCCGTCGGCAGTCACGATGGAATCCTGCACACGCCGCGTGCATACCCGTAGTATCCACTAGGTAGTCTGTGTGCATACCGTAAAGGCGCGTTGGGGTAATACCGGACGGATTTTTGACTAGTTGAAAGCGTCTGGCAAAAACTTAATTTTCTCGACATCCGTATTCGTCAGATTTCCGGAACATGGCGCAAACCGTTAATGATTAAACGTAGTTTAATTCTGATAATCTTTTGTTTTTGTAAACGCAACGGATTCTGTTTTTAAAATTTCGAAGTAAAAAAAGTTTTGAAGACTTTGCCATCAAGAGGTAACCGGACCGGACTTAAATTTAAAGCACTACCACTGCTACTGCTTTGGAAACAAAGTTCATAAAAGGGATTTGTCCTATATTTACTGCTTAAAAACATATTTAAATATGATGTATAAATTACGAGATACATAAATGTTCCAAATGATTATGTTTTTTGTGGTTCGCGGCATCCGATCTTATCCCAGGTATGAAAAATAATTGTGGATCTCAAACTTTGCTATGGCACGAGATGGGATTACTCAATATACGAGAAATATAGACTGCATTTGATTATTTTACTGCTAAATAAAATTTTATTTTTTTAATACATTGTAACGGTAAGGACTGGCGAAATGCCTTGGGGCAATACAGGAGTAGAGAAAGATGTAGATATTTTAGCAAAGCGGCATATGGCGAAGCAGGTAGTTAGGTAAATAGTTAATTCATAGATTATTTAGTGTGAATAGAATAGAATATAATAATTTTTATTCAATATTGATTACAAGTAATTCTTATTGAAAGTCATTTTTTATATTACCACTGGTTCGAAAAAATCCTCTGTCCTGGGAAGAACCAGCAAGAAACCCAGCGGGACTTTTTTTTTAAGATGATCGGTAAGTATTTTTTTACATTCGCGATAATTAAGCCGGTGAAAGTTTAATTTTTTATTTAAGTAATTATACATATATCTTGATTGGGCACAGTAAGTACTGTCTCTCAGCAAATTTAGATTTTACATAAATTTGTTTAATGACGTTATGATTCCCCCGTGTAGATGTTTTTTTTTGGATCATATGGCGAGTTAGTATGTGTTTTTAAAATTGACTGTAAGATATATACTTAGTTGCCTAACCGTAATAACATCACTAATATTATACAGTTGTTCGGTATTAAATTTAATAGGCTTATTAGCTTATTAATAATATATAGGTACATATATCTAATTACTAAGTCCCGTCAAAACTAGAACCGATGTTGACGTTCCGAAGGTGAGTTCTAAACATGTTTTGTAATTATCAGTTGGTGAAATTGTAGATAGAGAATTGACTAAGATACTATGTCTATGGGTGAAATCCATTGAGTTAAGGAATAGCTATGTTAGTAACACTTAATAAAGCGAAATATATGTGTATTTAAAAGTAATAAAACTATCTTAAAAATTAAGCTCAATTAGGTAAATTAAAGCACAATAGATTTGATAGTAATACTGAGTCCCATTCCCATAGTCACTTGAGCAATCTTCGAAAGAATAAATGTCGCAGGCTTATTGTATAATTCGCCGTATTACATTATGGCTAGCCGTTTTACAAAACAGAGTCGTTTCGTATTACGGCTGGCGAACGATAAACCAAATTGACGTATTGCAATACGGCGGGCCGACTTTCAGTCATATTGTATGTTCAATTTGCATTGTAGGGTGACCATGCCAACCAAAAATAAAAACTGATTTTAGTTCAAAACAATTTAATATGAAAAAAGAACTTAAAACTTCACAGAATATACACATGATAAACATTTCCTTGTTTTTAAAATATGCTCCACCGAAACTTGCATTTTAGGGTTCAGGGGAAGCCCTGGGTACCTTTCTCCCGTTGCGGAAATGTATAGTTTATGAGTAAAATTCTTTTTTGTATAATCATAATCTTACTTTTTTACACAGGAAAATTGACTCAAAGTTACTTCTGCAACGGCTACGGCGCTGCGGGAAGTGCAGCCCCTTCGCTCTTGCTTAGAAAATCACAGGCATCTATGTGACCCGTAGCGGCTGAAACTGGTCGCCGAAACCAATAAGCCGAAACTATGGAGATGAGCATTTGCTACAGCGGGCGGGGGCTGCTCTCCCTCCGTGCCTACCACTTTACAAAAACACTCTAGGGGTAGGGCAGACAAGACTACGTTGAGTCGGGGTGTTCTGATCCGGTTTTAGTACAGATTCGATCTTATCTGTAAAGTCAGGTTGCCCTAAACTCTGATTTGATGGTGGTAAATGGTACAATGTAATGTGAATTGTTATAATTTTGTTTTCTGAAAAACCTCTTTGACTGTTCTCCACTGCGACTCAGTTCGTTGTGTATGAGTTCCATCTTCAGCCACAAATGGATTATCTGAGTCCGAGTAATGAACTTTTTTATGGTTGACCCGTTTCGTTTTTTTTTTGGGACCAATAATATTGTGTAGGATTCCGTCGAACACCAGACTCTATGGCCATATTACTGGTTTTAATATGCATTAGAACCTCTAAAACACGGTCTTTTGTCCACGGCTTTTTTAAGTTACCACACTGATTTGAGTAACAATTATTTAACTCTTCATTAAATCAGTCCTTAAAATCAATTCTTTCACACGTATTTCGAAAAAGTATTAAAAGTTTCACTTTTTAGCCACGTAAATTCTGCTTTTAACCCAGCTGTTATTGTTATGGTAGATAGCGCCCTGAGCGTTAAAAATTGGTACTAAAACTGTCAAAGCGGCGGATAGTGACGCGCCTGGATACATTACGCCTAGCCTTGTCGGAGGACGCGAAGCGCCGAACCCAAAGCGGCGGGAATTCATTCAGCCGTAATACAATTTGGCCAGACGTAATACAAAACGGCTGTTTTGTAAAACGGCTAGCCATAATGTAATACGACGAATCATACAATTAGGCTGCGACATATACCTACACATTGAGTTATAATGTATTATTTTGTCCGTGCAGTTTGGGTCATAAATCAACGGAGTATTTCGCTCTCTCTCTCTCCCACTCACGGGCCTTTAGGGGCGAGCATAGTGATGCGCATTATTGTTGCCGATAAGCGTTATCGATAGTGTATTTAGTTTTGTCATAATGTGGGTTAGTGATAAAAATGAAAAAAAAATTAGATAAAACAACGTATTTATTAAATAAGAATAATAATGAAAAAGAAAAATAAATTATTAATTAGGTATCTATATATAAAAAAACTATAAGTTCAAATATGTGGAATGTAACAAGTTATATAAAAATAAATATAAATATAATAACTTATATCTAAAATTAAATCTAAAAATATTAACATTAAAATTCTACATCAGAATCATCAGAGACATCGTCATCCACATGAATTACGATATCTTCTGCCAGATGAGATTTCTTCAAGTCTTCTTTCCTCTTGGAGTTTTTCTGCGTGCTTCACACAATCTTCTCAGTTCTTTTGCGAAACGTTTGAAATTGCTTCATGCAGTAACACTTTGAGGTCTGCAATTTTAAAAGTGCTGTTTTTGGTGACAACTTCATTTTGCTGGAGTCCATACCAACTCAATTGGGTTATATTGGCAATGGTAAGGTGGTAAGCGAATCACTTCGTGTCCTGCATAGATTACTGTATTTATACTAGAAATAGATAGCGCGACTCAAATTTAATTTTCGATATTGCGTCGTGTCTGCCTTACTCGTGTCGTGATGGCGCTTAATTCTTACAAAAGAAGAAACTTGAAAAAAAAAGGGAAAAAATAAACACGTCTGGACTAGAACCTTTTGGTTTCGGGATCGCCCGATTTCCCACCTGAGCTATTATAATAACCTTGTATGTAGTGGCAAAATTTACCTTCGTATTCTAATGATGTTTTAGCAGTTTTTCATTGACCAAACACAGATAAAACGACATTTTCTAAAAATAAATGCTAGCTAAATCGATTGATCACCCCCGAAACCCCCTGAACACTAAAATTCTTACCAAATTGGTCACATTTAAAAACACATTGCTTTCGCGACATTTTTAAACAAAAATAAAACAGGGCCGCAGAAATATTAGTTATTGTGTAAGCGAAATTAATTATTATGAAATAAAACACATGCCACGCACGAGAAATTAGAATAATGTTCAATAAATATTAATAACAATTTAAGCGTAACTACCAGTGACCGCTACTAACTGCGTAGTGTGCATGGATTATTGCATATGCATAGACTTAATATATAAGTGTGCCCTCTAGTGAGATTAAAATAAGTCTAGCCTAGCGCTTTGGAATGTAGATGGGAGCACATAAAACGTATCATTTTGTTCGTAAAATAATGTTCTAAGTTGCATTTTTTTTATAGGATAAGGGTGACAAACGAGCACACAGTCCACCTGATGGTAAGTGGTTGCTGCGGCCCATAGACATCTACATCTATCATCTGTTACAAATCAAAATGTAGATGCGTTGTCACCCGTGAGGACTAAGATGAAATGCCTCATTTCCAGTAAAAAGGGCCTCCGGCCACCTGCACTCACCAAGTGAAACGCAGAGGTAAACCTCTACTTCACGCTGGTTTTCTGTGAGGTCGTGGTACTTACCCCGGTTCGTGCCGGCCCATCCGTGCGACAGCAAAAGCTGCCGCGTGGCTCTACCACTGTTAAACATGCTATGGTGTCCTGACTCCAAAGCTAACTGATCCAATTTGTATATTTTTTCTGGTCGGTTCCGTTGCACCCGTAAATATAATGTTGTTTGTATATTCAACTAAATACTTAAAAGAAAACAAATGTATTGCAAACTTTAAATAATAAAATCTGAAATACCTTTTGTAACAGTTCCGGCTTGAGCTCACTATCACTAATCTCTATCCCGTGTTGGCGGAGACACTCCTGAATTTCACTCTTTTTGTTAGCTGATGTAGGTGTCCGATTTATTTGCTGGGAGTGGTAGGGTGCGTTGTCCATTATGATGACTGATGGTTCTTCAAGACTCTGCAGCAGCTTTGTAAACCAGTCTCTGAAGCCTTCAGCATTCATTTCTGAAGGGTAGTACTCGTTCTGAGACTTCACAGCACGGAATACCCATTTGGCTTCGGGTATAAAACAATATTTTGCGCAGCCTGCATGACAAACTGATACAACATAATTAAATGAATATCGTATTTTGTATTAAATTATTATTAAGTCGTATTTCTTACATAAAAGATGAAATAATATTTACCAATTAGTCTGTCCCCCTTTCCCGTTTTTGTGTTTAAGCCGCCTTGTCCATCCTTGTCTAGCCAAATTCGTTTGCGGCTATGATTTTGGTTCACCCAAGTCTCATCTAAATAAATTCTTGGTCGAGTATCTACACTATCTCTCAGGGTCTTGAGTTTTCTCAGGAATTGTAGCCGCGCACAATCGATGCCAGTTATTTCGATCAATTGTTTATGAGCATCTGGAGCTTGTGTGTACTTGTACCCAAGTTCTATGAGTATTTTACGCATAGAAGAAATAGAACACTGGAATTCGTCAATTCTTTCTTTTGCTATACTCAAAATTTTAGCCGTGGAAGGTTATTCACCGTCGCGATAAAACAATGACACTATTTGTTTAATTACACTTTTGTCAAAGTCGTCTAACACAGTTACTGTACAAGGCCGATAGACGCTTTCTAGGGGAGAGCTAACTTCTCCCTTTATAAACTCTTTTTTAATTTTGTCGACCGCTCTAACACACCACATATCGCCGAAGCAAGTTCACGAGAACAGCAGAAATTAACACTTTGTATCTTTTCAGGATCTATTTTTATTTCAGCGAAAATTGTTAAAACATTGCCAACAGGCAAAATATTATTTTGAATAAATTCTGCCTTTTTGGTACAAAACAAAGGAGTAGTCATTGTGTCACTAAAGAAATTCAGAGAGCGAATGTGCAAAAACAAATTTCTCTTCGATATATGTACTAAATTAACATTGCACTAATTTGCAAGTATTAGGCGGGGGTAATAATGGAAACATATGACTCATAACATAACAATGTCACACCACCCTTTGTATACCGCACCGCCGCCGTGTACCAGCCTTCGATGATTCATTTATTGTTATTGATAATGGCGCCCGCGCAACATGCTCACCACCCTAGCTGGGCTGAGGCCGAGCTATAATTTATGATCCCGACTGCACGGACGAAATAATTTCACTATACGTACTAGAGAAGCTATTCCAAACAAAAAATGTGCACTACTCTCTCTTCGCGCATGCGCGGTAAATAGTAAGAGTCGCACATGCGCATTTTTGTCATCATAGATTATACATAGCGTAACTAACCCCCCCGCCCCCTCTTTTTTTCCTATATATACTTATACTTGTATTTCTTTAGAATCTATCTCTGTAAGATATATAAATATATCTAATTTACGTGACCAGTATATCTTGTCTTTCTAAAGGTTTAAATATAGGCCGTTTAATAAATTTATGGCGTGATCGTCTTAGTTAGGACCCTTATTTACGTTGTGTTTGTATAGTAACTTAATTCTTTTAGGTGTATCTTGGAAAAATGAATATTCACGAGAGCAATCGAAAGCTATTGGTAGCGTCTTATAAGCTAAAGAACCCCGTTCATGAAGACAGCTCAAAAAAAGTTAAGATCAATAATTTGTCCCTATTCCACTTGTATCAGGTTCACAACAGTAAATTCCTTATTAATTAATCCCTTCCCGCTTGGAAAAGGCTCACAATATTTATATCAAATACCAGATACAAGGGTCTCCCACACTTAAAAAATATGTGGAGGAGGTACACGGCTCCGCATACGCTGCGCACGGTGAACGCCAACCATTTTAATACGCTCCCCCCGAAGGGTACACTAAGTTGGGAACTAGACCGTAGTCCACAGCAAAATAACTGGCGAACCAGTAAAAGGGGACTTGGCCCCTTGATAGTGCGTAAGTACAAACATCGACCGAAGTCGCGCATGTCAATGCGTGTAAACGCCATACAGAATACGATCAAATCCAGCCACAGTGAATGTACGTCACACGGGTTAGGCAACAATAGACACACTGGCCATAAAAAGCCCTCCGTGAGCGCCACCACCTGCCAGACCGTCGTTCCTGCAGACTTGATGGCTGCAGAGTGTAAGGCATCACCACCAATTGAGTCTACCGCTTATCTCAAGGGAATGGGGTCCCACGTTGCGCGGCTTTCGGCCGCAGCCTTGAGAGCCTCCTCAGATTTTCCCTCCAGCTACCACCCGCATGAGGTCGACACATATGCTCCACCAACCAATACAATGGCAGATATAGCCAATATGCAATAATTCGCCATAGTAATAATTCGCCATCAGAAAGGGTTTGTGTCACTAACGTTAAGTATATGCATTTTTCGATCATGTTTGTCTCACCCACCAACAAGTTGCCTTCAATCTTTCAAAGGTAGGAACTTTATAGAGATATATTATTAAGTTGTTATATAAAACATCATGGAGGACAGACAGTCTGCAGCCCCGCAATGAAGGGACCCGACTTGGGCAAAGCTACTTAGGTTGTGAGTCAAACTAAGACGCAGAGAGCGCCATTGAGAATAGCGACCCGCCAAACAATCATCGTAGAGACGCAATGCTGCAGAACGCAACACGCATCAATACGAATATCGTCGGGCTTACACCATCCCAAAGTCCCCCATACAGTCCCAGCAGACATCACCACCCACATACCTCCATCGACCAGAACCACAAGATGGGTCGAATCAGGTGCAGCACACCCGCAGATCCATCACAAGTCACAATACTGCAAGTAGCAGTAAGCATCAATGCAACTATCATACGGATGGCACCCCCTCACAACACACCCACATGATCCCTATCGACTTTGGTAACAAAATTGATAATGTTGTTAACTAAAAATATCACCAACGTATCATAGTAGCACGGTACTAAGACGTCAGTAGCCAAAACTCCACGTATCATAGCGCTATTGCACTAAGACATGGAGTTGAGTATGCTTGCTGCACTTAAAAGTACTACCAAACACACTCACCCTAATCCGAAAGATAGCCGACGTATCATAACGCTATGCGCTAAGACGCCGCCCACAAACGGTAGGGGCGTGCGATGTCCACGGGCAAGTCGTATTGCTACAACAAACCCGCTTACCACCGACACTAAGATGATATGTCTAGGACACATCGGTTAGCGAGTCCAAGTTTACCTCGGTCTCGGAGGCTGCGAAGCAACCTACACGCCACTATAATAATCCTTTTCATTTCCCGTTTCTTTCAATATAATGCTTTTACATATTTGAGACCTTCCACATATTTGCTTTACTTCATAGACCATACTATTGTATATCTTATTCATATGGGACTTCAAGTCATAACTCTGCTATCATAGTGCTTATGCATCATAGAGACCTTCTATATTAATGCTTTGGTTCGTTAGACCTTACTATGATAAGTCCCTAATATAGGACTAGTCATTGTGCAACCTTAGTACTAGCAGTCGGTCAGCCGACCACCCCATATATATGTACAACCTTGGGTATGCGTCTCCGGCAACGCCCCCATATAAAGGAACATTACAAGAACACGTTCATCAACTAAGAAATTTTCCGATTATTACAAGAACACTTTCATCAACTTAAGAAAATTTTGATCTACTTATTTTTTCTATTATATTACAAATGTTATTTATCTTTATTATTGCAATATAATCGACTTGTATTTATATGATTTAGTACATTTTGAATATTTTAAGCAGAATTTTAATAAATTTAGAGATTTTTAGAGACAATTTATGCGTTTACTAATACTATAATATTCAATATTCCAAATGAATATATTTGAAGTTTATGCTTATTATTTGCATTTTAAGTAATTGTTTAAATTATAATTTCTAAGACATTTTTAAATGTCTTTATAATGAATTTAATTATTATTTAATAATAATAATTATGAGGCGTCACAATAGGTAGAATGATAAGTATGTAATAAGTAATTGTTTATTTAGATTGTATTGTTAATTATATGGAGTACAATTTTTTGGATTGTTATTTATTTTGCATATGTGTTAATTTAATATAATATAACATAATATTATGTCAGAATCACATTTTAATGATATTTTATTTAATACTTTAAAAGGTAAATATGTAAAATATAAAAATATGCAAAAATAATTCCTATTACTTTTCTAGCATTCTCTAACGTATTTTTTTTTTATAGGAGCGGGGGAAAACGAGCATGCGGCTCACCTGATGGTAAGTGACTACCGCCGCCCATGAACAACCGCAACACCAGGGGAATTGCAGATGCGTTGCCGGCCTTTTAAAAAGGAGTAGGCTCTTTTCTTGAAGGTCCCTAAGTCGTATCGGTCCGGAAAAATCGCTGATGGTAATCGATTCCACAAGGAAGTCGTGCGAGGAAGAAAACATCTTCTAAATCGCACAGTGGTGGACCGCCAATCATCCAGATGATGTGGATGATATCGGGAGTTCTGCCGCGATGTGCGTTCATGAAATTTGGCGGCTGGGATTAATCCGAACAATTCCTCAGAGCACTCCCCATGGTAGATGCGAAAGAAAATGCAAAGAGATGCAACATCTCTTCGCAGTGCCAATGAATCGAGCCGATCGGAAAGGGCTCGGTCGTCGACGATTCGAGCCGCTCTGCGCTGGATGCGGTCAAGTGGAAGGAGCTGGCACTGGGGAGCCCCTGCCCAGAGATGGGAACAGTATTCCATGTGAGGCCGAACCTGCGCCTTGTAAAGTTGCAGGCGGTGTGCCGGCATGAAATACTATCCCGCTCTGCTGAGCACGCCAAGCTTTTTAGAGGCCAATTTGGCCTTCTCTTCCATGTGACCACGAAACTGCACGTCACTCGATATGTCGACTCCGAGGATACCGATACTGGCTGAGGCAAGAAGGGGAGTGCCTTGAAACTGAGGAGATACGACAAAGGGGTTCTTTTTAGCGGTAAACGCGCAAACTTGTGTCTTCTGAGGATTAAACTGGACTAGATTTAGTCGCCCCCAATCCGAGACTTTGTCCAGCAAAGACTCGACTTCAGACACAAGTTTGTTCCGGCTTATATATTGTTATAGCTGGTAAATAATAGTGTAAAATCAATACGACTTTACAAGGTGCATGCAGTGTATAATAACTAATAAGATTTATGTAACTCCACAACTTCTGCTTTAGCCATTAAATCAATCTCAGCATTTAAGTTGAGACTGAATTTACGTTTCAAATGTTGTACAATTGATTTGTAAGAAGCACATTTTTCTTTAGATAAATATTTTGTCTTTGTTTTTTCTTAAATGTCTCAGTAAGTTTATTTGTAGCTGCAGATTTCTTGCTATTAAATAAAACACAATATTACAACGTGCCCATATTTTATTATTTTTATAATACCTAGAATTATTGATTCCGTTACTAAGGTAGAACTATATTTAAAAGTTTAGGATTCATATAATATGTCGGCGATACGCCAGGGTTTTCACGCTCAGAGTCCATCACAATGAAATAGCACGACAAATATTAAGTAGTTTATTTTCACACAATTGCTGGTATAGAACAGAACAGTCTTTAATAATAAAATCAATAAATAATAAATCAACCGCCTTTATAGTTTCCTTACAAAAATGGATACAGCAAATACAACTTCTATTAAATCCAACAAATAAAATTAAGAACTACAAAATAATTCTTAAAATAGAGCTCATTATTCAAAATAAATATTTTAATGAATTTAAATAATTACAAATGATTTATATAGATAGGTGAAAGCGCAAGGGAAACCCGCGAAATTCAAACTTTCTTATGTTTTTTGCAATGTGTAGATCAGTGTCAGGTTGTCTGTTTAACAAAATATGATTCGCGACCGTAACGAGTATGTATTTACAGAATTATAATCATTATAATCATCAATACAACCCTCTAAGTTCGTATATTCCCATTGTATGGCTATTTCCAGAAAAACTAATTCCAATTTCCAATTGGTGATTTTAATGATAATAATTCTGTAAACACATAATCGCTACGGTCGCGAATCATATTTTGTTAAATATACGACCTGACCCTGATCTGCAAATTCCTAAAAACGCAAGAAAATTTGAATTTCGCAGGGCACCCTGAAGCTTCCACCTTACCACCTTTTGTCACATTGTCACTATCGAAGCCAAGTATAGTGGGGTCGCTAGGTACTGATACCGGTTTTTGTATTGTTGCTTTTTATTGCAGCGAAGGTTGTAATGCGAAGTTTTTAGTCAGTGCGACTTCCTGCTTCGGGAGATGGGTATGCAGAGGCTTTTTCACATGGAAAAAAAGGAAGTTTGCAATAGGTACCACACTTTATAGACAAACTTGATAGGCGTTGGCGTGGGCGATGGCGTTTTTATTATAAAATTGTAATCAGGAATATACTGCTGCCTGTGTCCTGTTTTATTTCCTCTATAACCCTTTACAAAATTCACTGGATGTTAAGGGGTAGTGGATTTTTTTACGCCACAACTACACAGCATTAAAGTTTCTTTTGGTTACAATTTAGGCACAGGCTTTCCCTAGAATATGCTATCTACCAAGCATTATTCTAATACAAAACATAGGTTACAATATTTCACTATAAAAGTTGTGGCCAGTGGCGTAGATATGTAACCAAGGGCCCCGGGGTAAAAATGAAAAAGGGGCCCTGTTTAAACTAAATTAAATACTTTAAAGGTGCAAAACTACTTCATCATCAGCTCCTTGTCACCCATTGCAGGACATAATAAAGCAAAGCTACTTACTACTAAGTAATATGTGTAACGCATAATCAATGACGTAGTAGATTACGTTTAATAACATAGGCAGACAACATAACAATGGAAGTGCCACACGGCAGCTTTTGCTGTCGCACGGGTGAGCCAGACTGGTTGGAGTGACGATCTGGTAAGACATGAAATGAAGAGCTGTAATGAATGAATGTAAATGTGAAAAATGAAATAAATGGGTGACCGGCTCGAACCAAGGAGACCCAAGACCTCACAGATAACCAGCGTGAAGTAGAAGCTTACTTCGCCTGTTAAGTGCAGGTGGTCGGAGGCCTAACCCCTCTCCCCCTTAACATGGTAGTGTAATTAAATAAGAAACCATCCCTGGAAGGTACCAGCACCCCTGGTATTAGAGAATCCCTGGCTGAGCCACGCCCAAGCTACCCTGGGGAGGGGGGGGGGGGATCCTGCTCAAGAGTTTGCGTATACGTCAGAGAGGACATCTGTTCTCGCCACCTCGGCAGTCTTGAAGGTCAGCGACGACCATTCTCGCGTCTACGGGTGCCTCTATAGGTAATGCCGACACAGACCAACTCATCGACCACGTCCAAATCGCTACAAACTCCGTGCTACAACAGGTCCCATCTGCAGAGATCGTGATCCTTGATGATTTTAACGGCCACTACGCTAAATGGCTTGATTCTCGTTTAACCGATCATGCGGGAACATCTGTTTATGACTTTGCCTTGGCATAGGGTCCGACAAAAATGTTTACTTTCCCTACGCAGATTCTATATGTGGAGGATAGTGCACCTTCCTTCCTTCTCCTGACCTCTCATCCAAACGGATATCAGGTCTTCGTCGACGTCCCTCTTGGCTCATTGGAACATTGTCTGATCCGGACTATGGTGCCACTCATACTCTATCGCGGTTGCGTGCTGCAGATTGTGTTTGGCACTATAGTTCGGCCGATTAGGAGAGGATGCGGTCTCTTTTAGCATCCTTCTCTTGAGGATAGGGGCGGCTTCTCGCCGGATGATCCCAACGTGATTCTGCCGCTAATGTGGTACTTCAGGGAATGGAACTCTATTCTATCATCTGGTTTAATCGCCCTTGTAAAATTGCATCGCGCTATAATAGGAGTGCTTCACCAGCGCTGTTAAAAATAATGATAATTTCACCTTCAGGTCTGTACGAGACGGTTTACACAGCGCTCGGTGCGCATAGCACTACTCTCCCTAGACGTCATGTCGAGTGGGCCTGATGAAGTTCCTCCCGTT